GTCCTCCTCCGGTCCTCCGGTCCTGGTCTGTGGCGGAGCCGCTCTCTGGTGGAACTGGTGTGATCATGGGCAGACACTCGGGTCACCTGCCCGAGCTCCAGCCGGGTCTCACGTTCCGGGTGTTGTGGATCCTTCAGGCGTTCCTGGACCTGACCGGCTCTCAGGAGATTTACGCGCCGCACTCGATCCGGGTGGAGGGCGACGTGACGCTGGGGGGGCTGTTCCCCGTCCACGCCAGGGGGGTCCCGGGGATGCCGTGCGGGGACATCAAGAAGGAGAACGGCATCCACCGGCTGGAGGCGATGATGTACGCGCTGGACCAGATCAACGGGGACGAGGAGCTGTTGCCCAACGTCACCCTGGGCGCGCGGATCCTGGACACCTGCTCCCGGGACACGTACGCGCTCGAGCAGTCGCTGACGTTCGTGCAGGCTCTGATCCAGAAGGACACGTCGGACGTCCGGTGCACCAACGGGGAGCCGCCGGTGTTCGTGAAGCCCGAGAAAGTTGTGGGAGTGATCGGAGCGTCGGCCAGCTCCGTGTCCATCATGGTGGCCAACATCCTGCGCCTCTTCCAGGTACGGCCCCCCCGGACAGAACTCTCTGTCATTAATGTCTCAGCCGCTTATGTAACTCAGATCCAGTTTGCAGTGGACCCCCCCCCCCTTTAAGGAAATCCCGCTCAGAGTCGTGACTCCATCAGTCTTCAGTCTGTTTGAGTTCTGGAGAAAATCCTCAGGTTGGATTCAGTCTTAAAGCTCCCATCAATACATGATCAATACATCAATACATTATCAATACATTAATACATGATCAATACATTAATACATGATCAATACATTATCAATACATTATCAATACATCAATACATGATCAATACATTATGAATACATCAATACATGATCAATACATGATCAATACATTATCAATACATTAATACATTATTAAATACAAACGGTGTCTGGAACAATATTGATCAACTCAAACTTTCGGAGGGAACCGATCACATTCATAAGCTGTGAAAACAGCTGACGTAAGATACAAACTATTTCAAATCAATCAATCATCAAAATGGTTGAAAATGAATTTTGGGGCTTCAGTTTCTGTGATGATGTAAAGTCAATGGAACAAACTGAGTCTGTTGGAGTAACACCTGAGTTCACTGTTTGAATATTGGTGATTTAATTAACTGTTCTGACTGGAGGAGGAGCTTTGAGGAGGTTGGTAACAGGTCAGGATCAACAGGTGCATTAGAGCGGAGGTCAGTTAGTGGACTGTACAGTGTTTGTGAGATGGAACAACAGGAAACAGAGGCTGCTTTCACTGAGCGTAGTTTATGGTTTGCTCTCCTCAGATCGGGGCTCTGATGGTGGATGTGGTGGTGATACGGTCTCAGGTACAGACGGGTACAGACTGGATCTCTGACTCATTACAGACCTGGACACAGATCCATAAACTGTACCAGATGTTTCAGCTCCTGTCTCTCCTGTGAGAGGGCTTCCTTTGGTGTTTCAGGGTCTAAAAAGTGACGTTACAGGATGATTCAGAGGCTCTTTGTGCTGCTGGCCTTCTGGATTCCTGAGACCTGAGTTGTGTTTGTTCCTATATTAATATTATATATATATATATATATATATATATATATATTGTTTGGATTTAGTTCAAAGTGAAGTTCAAGTTAATACTATTGTTTTCTTACATCCGTTAAAATCAAGAAGGTCTCGTGACCCCTAGTGGAGGGTTGGGAACCACAGCTCTACGCCTGGTCGTAGTTTTACAGGGAAAATAAGACACACACACATACACACACACACACACAGGGGAGATTTATCATAAATATAAAATAAATACATTTAAAACTGAAAAGACTTCTGCATAAAAAGACGTTGTCTGACCTGAAGAAGTAAGACACAGATGTGTGTGAGAGACACAGTGAGGGAGGTGGGCGAGAGACATACAGTGAATACAGAGAGAGAGAGAGAGGGAGTGGTGGTGCTGAAAGAACAGCTCCTCTGCTGGTCCTTGAACACATCATGCTCCTCTTCTGGTCCTTGAACACATCATCCTCGTTCAGCTGAAACCTTCGCAGCTCTTAATGTGTCTTAATTAGACGGTTTTAATTGAAGACTCCTCCTGTTCTCTGTTATCTGTTGTTCTTATTCTGTTGAAGGTCTTCAACACTAACTTAAATCTTATCTGGGGGGGGGGGACCACCGGTACAGGCACTTTATTTCACCTTCATTTGGTCCACTTTTACACTATTCATTACAGAAATGTAGAATCGGCCAGTGGCCGTCGGCCTCAATGACCAATCTGATTGGTGGAGTGCTAGCCCTTGACTAGCGAATCAGTGAGTGCACGAGAAAACCGGAAGTGACGATGG